TACGCTTGATCGCGTATTACTAAATAACATATTACATTACATATATATTATTATATATAATACGTTATATCCTATATGTTATATGATAATATAGGTCTTCAGCTTCGAAAACATAATTTCGAAAAGTGCTAAAAGTAAAGGAGACACTTTATCACGATCATACTTTTCAGATTTTAAATTTAATGTTCAAACATTGAGCAAAACGTGCATTATAAGATATCGAAGTAAATAAAATTGTTCACCATTTTAGAGGATAAAATTTGTTTTCGTCAATTTAAAAGTATGGAGCTTACATAACGCCATTATTCGTCTTTCCTAAGGTACACACAATTTGCGTCTTGTTTATTTTTGTGACTAATATAATTTAATTAAAAATTTTGTCATTATTTAAGGTTGGGAGTTTTGTAGGAAGTAATAGTACTGATAAGGATTAAAACACCGAATAGCACTATCGTATTCGATATACTGTCGTCGTGTTTATCTCGGTTCTATTTCTGGGTTAAAAGAGAATTTTTATTATTACTTTCGAATTTTATTATTACATTTGCCATAGGTCTGAAGAAAGACATTATAATTTTTTAATAATATGGGATTTATACTAAAGACAGGGTACATTGTAGACATATACAGATATTTGAATAGAATTATGAAATATGTATTGTTTGATTATAAGAATAATAGATCCCCCCTGACAAGACAATAAATCTAATAATTATTTGTTAGTTTTTTGAAAATATTAATTTTTTTTTTTAGATTAAAGATAATGGCTCTATTTTCTTTATATAGTGCAATCGTACATATACAATCATAAAGAGCAGCTAATAAAATTACAATGAAATTATTCAATAGTTAACGTTACGAGATGATTCACTTTTAATTATGTTATAAATGCTGTTGCACGAATTATTAATACATTGTAAGCATCACTATCGCGCGCGCGATTTTATATGTATTAGATATACAAGATATAAACGAGATATAAAATTTGCATATTTGTTCTAATCCGTCCTAAAATCTGCATAGATATAAGCCGTAGTTAAGAAGATGTAATATACTTTTATATTGTGTTTACGTAGTACTTATTACAGAATCCACCACAAAATTGTAATTGTACAGAACCGCCGATATCCCTATATACAAACTGTAAAGCACTTTTATATGATTGTTAAAAATGTTGTGGAATAAAAATATATACATATGTCTATTCTTTACCAATGCCGTGTACTTTTATGTAAAACTGTAAAACATTGATTGAACGTTAATCTTTTTTTTTATAGTCTTGGAGCTATTAACTTTGTGTAGTATACTAATGTGTAGTATATTAATATGTAACTAACATACTAATCTTGAGGGATTCCTTGCATGCAGCCGGACGGAAGATGATGAATCTCAATATATTACCTCATCCGCATATCATCAGCACGTAATAATAATTTCTAATATTATGTAAGTATTACATCAAGCAAGTTTTACTCACATTAATGAAAATTAATAAGACGCAAAAAATTTACATTAGCTCTTAGCACGATTAAATTAGTTATTAAGTTCAATAGCACTTAACGTATCAAAGTAAAAAATGAAATTAAATTTAAATGTACTTTGAATAGATGGATATTTTTTCTTGTACAACAATATCCAATTTGCTAAGAGGTCTTTGCGTGCCGCGTGCTTTAACAAGAAGAAACTCTATCGCTTTATTATTACCACATTAATTTTATGGCCAATTACTTTCTGCCTTTGCATGCATGGTTATTTGGGAACCTAATAACACTTTAAAGTAATAAAAAGGAGAAAAAAATTTTTAAAATTACAATCTTATTTGGCTACCTTTTATATTGCATTATTCTAATATATTCGGAATTCTTCCTCACATATGTCTCTCTATTTTCTTTTCCTTTCAAGTTTTAAGCATAGGTAAAAAATTCTATTAACATCATATAAAATAATAGATTTTATTTGAAATAAATAACATGTCTTCTTCTTATTGAATATTATACTACGATTGTATTTAATTTAAACTTGTGTATTTTGATGTCAAGAAAGTAAAATCTAAATATGTAATACATTTATACATAAATTGACGTTTTTGTTCTTTTACTAATTACATTATTTGTGACACATATGCAAAAATGAATTTATATGTGGTGATACATTTTTTTTTAAGATGTAAAGGATGTGCTATATGAGCCATATATCAGGGTATGCATTACATTTGCATCCTTATTATTATTAACATATTAATCTATTAACATGATTTTTCTAGGGTATCCACCAGGATTTACATGGTGTGCCTACCTTAGTGAACCTGTGACCCGATTTGACATGGTACCAAGTTTTTCCCATTAAATAGTTTCAGTTTTTACAGATCATATTGATACAAAAGCGTTCGAATTTATATATAGACAGATGAGCTATATATCAAAATAAGATATACCGTTACATGTACAGAGAAAGCTATTTACACGTTAATTTAATTACATATCTTTTTATTCGCGCATTTGTTTAGAATAGTATTAGTTATTTAAGCGAAAATTATCTGTTATCAGATTTTATAATATATATATTTTTTATAACTACATTCTTTGATATTAACAATAATTAATCTGTTTTCGAGCTTCTAATCATTTTTTAATATTATATTTAATATATTGCTCAGTGGTACATAGTGATTTAGTGATTTAAATTATTGGTTAAAGCTGTTTGATCTCTTATTCGGAAACTATTCGCAGAAGCAATGAAATAATTTTCTGAAATAGTTGTGCGCACGACACAGTATTATGAGATATAAATTAATCGTATCAATTTATATAAATATATTTTTGTCGTATAAGGTATTATTATATGTGAAGATAGCTATACGTTTAACAGGCAATACTCGATAATCTCTATTAATCAAAGAGTTATAAAAAAATTTCAAATAAAGGAGGTGCACTGTTTCATAAGAAAACTATATTATACTATTAAAAAATATTAAAAAATGTATACGATAAAAATATATAACAATCTCTTTTTATCATGTTATTTCATTAAGAAAGCGTAATGCAATTCAATTTTTATCTAAGACTATTTTTGATAACTCTTTGAATAACTGAGGCTACCGTACGGTTCCTTTTAATTGCTACTTTGCATATCTTTAACAAATATAAAAGTATAATGTAAGAATAATTTGTAAGTTTTTATATGCAAGAAGCAAAAGGAAATCATAAATCTTTATAAATGTTATCCATCTACGATAAATGTGATAGATTATATTTATCGTAGCATCATGCTACAAGTAATGTTAGACATTAAGTTATTGTGCCTTGTTATGAATTTCGTTCGGATTGATCTATGAAATATGACGTATCATTAAATAACGTATCAATCTGTGTAATTGGTGTACTGTTCAGTGTACTAATATGTATGAGTATGCGTACACAAACGCATATCAATGTTAAGAACATAAAAAAATTATTGACAAAGATTTTATTAAATACTTATTATAGATGATATGATATAATTTATTTATCTGATAATCTTACAAAATATCATCAAATGTTTTCTTAATATGAATTCAATTTATTTGTAATAGTTACCAATTAAAAATGTATTTTATATAGTAGATGTATTTATCTATTTATTTTAAGTAAGCAAGAGCTTCAGAGAAAGGCATATAAAATATATATTAGCAAAATATTAACAATGGTCAAAATTTTATGGAATAAATTAAGCATTTCAAAATAATTTCTCTATTTGAGAGGCTAAACTCTTAAAACAATGCAATGTGACTAGTACACTCTTGCAAATATGAATTTATTTCCTTAAGTTACCAGAGCAGCTTTCGCCTGTTTCCTAATGTCATCCGCAAGCCTCTTTATTTCTTCGTTATCTGCATGCATTTGTTGACTCCCTTTCTTTAAGGCGCATTCCAACTGCTTTAACTGCTGTTTGGTACTCAAATAAGTTTTCACTTGTTTGTATATATTATCAGTGTTATTAACACTTGTTAAATTGTGAGACTCTTTCATGCATAACTCACCTGAAAATTACATTCGTAGGAATATAATCTATCAATTCGCGATCGTCCTGTGATTAAATACAAGAAAAATTAAACGCGAGTTTTTCCAGATTTTACTTGTTATATTTTACAAGAGATTTTAAAATGAGTGACAGTATAACGATTTTTAATCATAAATATTGCAAATGTTTACTTGCGATTTTAAACGCTACGTCGTCTACCACAGCTTTATCGAGGTCTTCCAGCATGTGTTCATGGCTTGGCATGCGAGGCCTCTCTGGCAAGCTGTTTTTCTTGTTAGTGAACATCATCGAAACAATCAATATATAAGGATCAAAATACCAGTTTTATCCTTTATATTCAATCACCGCGTTAAATATTATCTTGTTCAGAAATGAAGATTGTAGATTTATCCCTCCTAGCTAAACTATCTCCGTCAATATGGAATCGATGTCACGGTTCAGACGTTGCTGTTCTCGTTGCGCTGCACTTTATTTAACTGATGCTGAACTTGTTACACCTTTTCTCCTTTCTGATGTCTAAATATGCACCTATTTCATTTTAAGTGCAGAAAGTGTAACATAGTATACTACAAATAACCTCTTGATCCTGATACTTGAGGATTTTTGTTAGCTTGGCTGTGAAGAAAAAGAATTTATTGCCAGATATAGAACACAAATCAAAAGCAATTCTGTATTTAGCAAAGAAAATACGAAAATCTACATAAAAACGTATGTAATCAGTTAATAATCTTTATCGATTATTGGGAAGTATTATATATTTACTTATATCTTATCCATGTATGTCCACATGTCATTTTGCATATTGATTGTTTTATTGAATTAATTTTTTTTATTAGATGCCATCCGTAACGTTAAAAGATGTGGATCAAGCAAAATTTGTCAAGGCCTTCGCAGCTTTTCTGAAAAAGTGAGTAAGGAATATGAATAGAATAATTAGAATGTAACCTATAAATAGAATAACAAGTAAAGTATTAAAAATGTAATCTAATCTCTTGTGATTATATCTAACATAAAGTTTTATTATTTAAAATTATTTATGTTTTTTCATTTATATTTCTTTTTTTCTCTATAATGGTAAAAATTCTCCATTTTACATATTGAAATTTTTCTGGCAATAAACATATAAGACAGAGTTCCAAAATATGTTATTGCAATTTGAACTACATTGTATTTCATAAAATTTTAGAACTGGTAAGATGCGAGTGCCAGAATGGGTGGATATTGTGAAGACAGCCAAATTCAAAGAGCTGGCACCCTATGACCCTGATTGGTACTATATTAGATGTGCAGCCTTGGTGCGTCATATTTATATTCGTAGTCCCGTTGGAGTTGGTGCGGTCACAAAGATCTTTGGTGGGCGCAAACGTAACGGTACTCATCCCAGCCACTTCTGTCGATCAGCAGGCAGTGTCGCGAGAAAAGCACTTCAGAGCCTGGAACAGTTGAAACTTATCGAGAAAGCACCCCTCGGTGGACGTAAACTGACCAGTCAGGGACGCAGGGACTTGGATCGTATCGCTGCACAAGTTAAAGCTAAGAGCAAAAAGCAGCTTAAGCTTCAAGACGCAATTGTAATTTAATATCCTTCTTCTATAATCAAATAAAAAACGTAGTCTCAATTTTCTTCATTAGATATACCCTGCATATAATTTTTTTTTTGATAAAATTTATTGAATAATCTCCAAGAATATTATTGAAAATTAAAAATTTGTCAGGATGCTTTATTTGCATAAAAATAAAATTCCAGGAAAATCGGATTTAGGAAAAAACTGTGTTATCACAGTACAAATATAAAATGCGTAGATTTATTTAAAATAAAATAATGTATCATTTTCATATATATTTGCATTCACACATGAGAAAAATTTCGTTTTGATAATTTCATGCAATGTGTTAAATTTTTATTATTATTACAAATTACAAATTGATGTAAAGTATTACAGGACAATGATCGCTGCCGTAAACATCCTTCCTTATAATATTATCGCACACTTTATTTTTGATCCGTTCTGATATCAAGAAGTAATCTAGCCGCCTGTATATAAAAAATTTTAATTAATGATGCAAGATTTGTATATATAACATAGTTTTTACACATATATATCATAATTAGAAGTAAAAATGTTAATAAAAATAACTTACCATCCAATGTTCTTACCACGTGCATTGGCAAAATACGACCAAAATGTATATGCACCCTCTGTTTCAGGATACAATGATCTAAATGTATCTACAAATCCGGCAGCTAAGAAATCGGTCATATCATCCCGTTCTTCTTTAGTAAATCCAGCATTTTTAGTGTTTGTTTTGGGATTTTTTAAATCTGGAAATCAATGATAATAAATTAACGTTTCTATTGCTTCATTCACATACTAATCTAATACTGATACTTTATATTTAAAAGATTAAAATTAAATGAATAATATTAATAACATTACGCAATAATAAAGAGATTTACTTATCGTTTCAATATTGATACTATACCAATTTCTTGATGAGCTACATTCATGTCACCACATATAATAACAGGTTTCTTTTGATCTAATTCTTCAATATGTTTTTTGAATAATTTATTCCACTCCAATCGTTTTGGTAATGTCACCAACTTCTGTCCAGCATTTGGCACATCTGTCACATTATATTCTATTAGTAAATATCAAGCATTATTTTTGATGAAATTACAAATATTTCAGAAAAGATAAAATTATTTAATTTTAAAAAATTATATAATAATGTTTACACATCACATAGTATATTGAATTGTACATGTATTTTGATTTTTGTAATAATATAATTGGAGTTTATTTTATGAGAATTAAGTAACTTTCTCTTACAAACATTGATCACGAAAAATTCTGGGAACTCCACTGTGATTATCCTACCCTCAGTATCAAAGGTAGAATCATTTAAACCATATTTCACAGAAATCGGTTTTTCCTTGCTGAACAAAGCAACTCCACAATAACCTGGTTTCTTACCTATTGAAACATACTTATTAATTATATAATTTGTGTGTGTGTGTGTGTGTGTGTGTGTGTATATTCAGTTTTTTTTTAAATATATCTTACTGTCAAGAAAATAATGATGATATCCTGACAATTTGACTTCATCTGGCATTTTACCCTTGTCACATTTTGTTTCTTGCAAAGCAATTATATCTGCATCTTCTTTGGTAATATAGTCAAGTCCATGTTTCTGATTAAATATAAATAGAAGAATCATTATAAGTATCATACATTAAGAGTGCCCGTTGACATAATGTACCTTGATTACAGCTCTGATCCCAGAGACATTCCATGTACAGATCTTCAAATTATGCTTCTTTCCTTCCTGATTTGACTTTGTACATCCAAAATCGATTTCATCCAAGTTTGTATCTGTCTTATTTTGCATTTGCTTGGGTTCATTTTTCGCCTTCTTTGAGGTAGATGAATCATCACTTTTATCAGTGCTTTTTGATGCCTTTGAATCCATTTTTGACCTCTTTGGAGCAGGTTCATCATTTGTATCATTTACACGCTTTTTATTTGAAGTTCCATTTTCATTTAATTTTTGTGTTTTCTTACCAGGTTTAGCTTTGGGAGAATCAGCCTAATTTCAAGGAAAACTGATAAATAGACTAGTAATTTTTTTACTTATTAATATAGAAAGTTATGGAGAAATAAGTATAATTACAGGGTGGGGCAAAAGTCCCGCTACCATTTTGATTGCGCGCCATCTTGGTTATGTGACGTATAGCTCAGTTTAGCTTTAACCGTTGTGTTGTGTAGACGTCCAAATTTTATAATGGATAAATATACGCCACAAGAACGAGCAGAAACAATTCAATTATTGAATGACGTTTTTCCACGAAGACTAATTTCGCGAAATGGCGATTTAGCATGGCCAGCCAGATCTCCGGATTTAACAGCACCAGACTTTTTCTTATGGGGTTTTTTAAAATCAAAAGTTTATGTGAATAAGCCCCAAACGATTCAACATCTTAAAGACAATATTCGTCACGCAATTGAAGAAATTCAGCCTGAGATGTTGCACGATGTCATGAAAAATGTCTTAAAAAGAGCCGAAAGTTGCATAGCGAATCGCGGTCACCATTTAGCCGATATTCTTTTCTAATCATAACGCAAAAAAAATGTAAAGACCAAATAAACATTGTATGAAAACCAAACTGACTTATCTTTTCTTTGAACAAAGTTATAGGCAATCAAAATGGTAGCGGGACTTTTGCCCCACCCTGTATCTGATGGATAGTTAAATAGAAAATTTTTTGTAAATACATTTTCAGCGTTTCGAGACGTCCGTTGTCTTCCAGAACGAGGTCTGTCTGCTGTCGTACCGTACTGTCGAAAATTCGCATGTAAACGATAAATTGTGGTTTTGTGAGGCACTGGACGATTACGATATTTCTGACGCAATTTCCGCTGAGTGGCAATAATGGAACGATTATTTTCAATAAATATTGTCACTATTTCTGCTCGTTCTTGTGGCGTATATTTATCCATTATAAAATTTGGACGTCTACACAACACAACGGTTAAAGC